AGGGGGATGGACAGGCAGATTCCTAGGCCAGTGGAGGGAATAAGGGACCCCAGACAAGAGGGAGTTGAGTCACGTAAAGGGAACTTCAGGGGAAAGAACACTTCGAAATTAAAGATCTCTGAAGACCCCACGCTTGAATTCCATGAGAGAAATGCCTGCTGGCCTAAACAGGGTGAAACCATTCTAGAACGGGATAGCGAAGAGCTTTCCATCCTCTCTCCTTCCCTCCCTTCCCCCTGCTCCTCTAGCTATTTTCTAGGGTCTGAAAAGACAGCTAGTGTGCTGGGGAGAAGGCAACGAGAGAGGGAGAAGGAGCCGATTCCCTCCCCCATGAAAGGCTACCTGTAGACCCTTCCAGGAAGGACTCCCTTCCAGGAGGGACTCCCCTCCCAGGAGGTGGAACTGTAGACTAACACATGGATTGGACCTTCTGGATTCTGAATCAAGACCATTTTGCTGTTTAAAGGACCATACGGCTTTGTATTATCTAAGAATTATCAGGTTATGGGCCTGCCCGAGTTTTCACCCAGGGACGGTAGAGGGACTCTTCCTGCAGGGCCAACTTAAAGAGACAGTGGAATACAGAAGGAGAGTTGCTTTTATGTTTACACCCTGTGAGTCTCACTTCCTCAAGGTGCCACTTTCATCTCTCAATTCTGGCCCTCCAGCCAAAGCAGCCAACATGATATTCCCTGAACACCCCAAGCAGACTACAATCCACCTTTTGTGCTTTGGTTCCTGGTCTTCCTTGACTCCTCTTCCCACACTGTATTTTAATTTTACCTCTTTTATTAGAGGACTGTTTATACTTGTCTGATCATTCATGTGGATTTAAAGTGCTTGGGGTCATGGGCCATGTCTTCTTTGCCTCTGTATCCCACATCTCCTCTGTCCTAGTACATAGTACCTAGTAGACATTTTTAAAACGATGGGATGACCAAATGACTGATGAATGAAATAATACTAATTGATAATTACTTATGTGTACTGTGTTCGCAAAAGTAGAAAAGACCATGTGATATTCTCATGGCTTTTTCCCTTGCAGTTGCCAAGCAGAGTTTGAATCGGACTCATCTGATTTGCAAACCCACTCTTCCGATGCCACCAGGCATACACAGTGTTCTAAATGCTTCTAAAAGAGGAAATAATCGTCTTCTTATGGGCATTTGTAGTCATTTTTTTATTTTTTAAAAATGTACATAAATGACAGAATATCTATATTGATCATAGAAAAATTACAAGATACAGGGGCGCCTGGGTGGCTCAGTTGTTAAGCGTCTGCCTTCAGCTCAGGTCATGATCCCGGGGTCCTGGGATCTAGCCCCAGGTCGGGCTCCCTGCTCCGCGGGAGGCCTGCTTTTCCCTCTCCCACTCACCCTGCTTGTGTTCCCTCTCTCGCTGTGTTTCTCTCTGTCAAATAAATAAATAAAATCTTAAAAAAAAAAAGAAAAATTACAAGATACAAATGAGCATTGCAATAAACAGTCACCTACAACCCACCTCCCAGGCATAACCTTACTGTTAACACTGTCTCTCATCTTTTTCCACGTGCCAGTTTTTTTTCTTGGAATAGCAGTATAGGCCACTTGGGGTAAAATTAGTATTTGTCCTATTATTTTAGGAAGAGATTCTAAAAGGATTTATGATATGTGTGGAGAGGGAAGATGATGGGAAAGAGTAAACCCTGGATGGGTAGACATGTCCCTGGGTGTGGGAGTCAAAGCTAAGAGTGAGTGAAATGATTAATTCAACCACTGTTTTGTCAGGACACCTCATGTAAAGGGGAGGGAGGACCATTGGGATCTCTGGCCGACTTAGGATCTGTTCCCAGATCAGCCTGCCTCCTGCCTCCTAGGCCAGCCTGCCCAGGCACCAGGCTGAGATGGTGATTAATATGTGGGGGAGCCTTAAGCTAGAACTTAAGAGGAGCTTTTCTTTCTTATTTGCCTTGGGTTCTGATTAAATTTGGGGGAAGGGGGTTGAAAACCCAAGTGTAGCAAAAACTTCACAGCAGTGGTTTTCAGTTGGGGGATTTTGCCCCCAGAGGATATTGGCAACATCTGGAGTTATTCAAGATTGTCACACCTGGAGGGTGGGTGCTACTGAGATCTAGTAGGTGGAAACCAGGGATGTTGCTAACCATCCTACGATGCACAGTACAGCCTCCCCAAATAAAGGATCTAGCCCCAAATGTTAACAGTGCTGAGGTTAAGAAACCTGCTTTAACAACAACAACAAAAAAACGCAAGAGAACAGTTGGCAAATGTTTTTCTTATATATTTCTTATATTATGTCTCACTTGTCCATTGAGATGTCAGCTTGAAAACTCTTCTCTGTGAGTCTGGAGTCTATCAGGTAGATTAAAAATGTTAAAGGTTTTTATCAGTAATCAGTGTTTTGTGCATTTGTGAAAGGTCAAGAGTTGTCATAAGAAAGGACAGAAAGCACTTCATGTAAATCATACTTGAAATTATCCCAAGTAGCTTTCAAAACCTGATACCATTCAAGCCAGTGGTACACATAGCCAGATGATTTTTAACCTAGGGGCAAAGCTGGGGAAAGGAGATGGAAAAAGGCAAAGATAATGGAGCTTCATTCTAGCTTTGGTCTTCGTATCATTGAAATTTTTTGTGGAATTAAGTGAATCCTTTTCAGTATGTTTTTGTGTTTGTCTTCAAGCCTTGGAATGACTTGCAGGGTTCAGAGACATCATTACATACCTGTGTCACTGACCCCGCTGTTTATTTTCCAAATGTTGTGTACTTTGAGGGAGCACAAAGAGGGAAATGTGTGTTGTGACTGCACCTATGGGTGAGGTAGCTAGAGGTCAGGGTGGCTGTCAGGTCATCAAATCGCTTAAGAGGTTGCAAGGGCTGCAGTCCATACTCCAGAAACAATCAGGTGGACTACAAATCAAGGCAAAGAAGCTAGGCATGTAACTTTGAAAGCTTCATATTCTTTTATTTTCTCTTTCTTTTTTTTTTTTTTTTTAGCATGATTGAATCAACTTGGTTTTTATGAGCCTCACAGATAGGCGGAGAAACAACAGTTTGGCAGGAATAGGGAAAGGGGGAAGGGTTCTAAATTAAATATAACAGTTGCTTGGCAGTTTAGTTGCTGACAAAAAAACAAGTCATTTACCATGAAAACCATGTGTAATATGTCGGGAAGGAGAAAAGAACAATTAGCCCACTTCTTATATAGCTTTTATTGACAGCACTATATTAATTGTAATCATTTAATTCAAAGTGCTCTTCCGTCTTCTTTACTACAACTCAATAAACTACACATGTACTTGGCTCCCACCCTGTCTCCTGCTTTGTAAGGAACGCGTAGTTTTCTCTAACCACCAAGCTTACAGCAATGAGGTTCCCCTTTCACATCTGTCCAGTCTGCTCCCTACTGCTTCTTATTGCTATATCCATCCATCCATCACAAATTACCACAAACTTGGTAACCTAAAACAACAGAAATTTATTCCCTCACAACCTGGAGGCCAGAAGTCTGAAATCTGAAGGCTCTAGGGGAGCCCCTTTCTTTACCTCTCCCAGTTTCTGGTGGCTCTGGGAAATCCTTAGCCTGTGGCCACCATGACTCCAGTTTCTTGTCTTGCTCCGGTCAGGCTGCTATAACAGAATCCATTGACTGGGTGGCTTATTAACGACAAAAATGTATTTCTCACAGATCTGGAGGCTGGCAAGTCCAAAATCAAAGAGCCCAAATATTTGCTGTCTGGGAGCTCTCTGGGGTCTTTTTTATAGGGGCACTAATCCATTCCTGAGGGCTCCATCCTCATGACTAATCACCTCAAATATTATTACATTGGGTATGAAGTTTCAGCGTATTAATTTTGGGACAGAGGGTGGAACACATATTCAGTCCTGTTTTCACACGCCCTTCCCCTGTCGTCCTTATCTATCTATTCTAGGGACACTTATCATTGGTTTTAGGGCTTACCTGGGTAATCTAGAATGATCTCATCTTGAGATCCTTAACTGAATCACATCTGCAGATCACACTTTTTCCAAATAAGGTGACATTCACACATTCTTGGGGTTAGGACATAGACAGATTTTGAGGGGTCACCATTCAACCCACTATTCTCTCTATGTCCTCTTTTTTTTTTTTTTCCAGAATGCTGAGTACACTGTAATTACTAATAAATGCTTATTGATTTGAAAGTGTGCTCATTTTAAAGTGACCCAAATTAATGGCCGGGCTGATTGCCCCACCTTGTTTCAGAGATGCTCTGTCATTAGCTCTACAGAATGCATGGACATAAAGACAGTCCGACTTTGCAAGGTGAATGTATGTTTCAGACTAAAGATCAAATGTCTAACAGTCACACCTAAAGCAACAACGGCCTGTAAGATTGCTGTTTTCCTAAGCATTGGTCCTTGGGCTGCAATTAACTTCCTAGGTGGTCTTGAGGATTACTAGCTCCCAGCAAGGTATAAATGTCTCAGTTGAATTGACCCTGTTTACCCTTTATTAATTTAGGTGCCCTAGAAGAGAGAGAGAAAAAAACTGATCAGAGCTTTAAAAATAGAGGGAGACAATTGTCATAATAAAATGTTCACTTTGATTTGATTCGCTGAAATTGAGTAAGTTCTGAAACAAGGACAGACGTTCACCATGTTCTCCGTTAGTTCTGGAAGCAGCTTAGCAGAGAGCATGGAGCACATGGGGGAGTGCCCGGGAGACCCTGGTCACCGGACCCCTAGTGCTAGATTCAGAGACCTAGGTGGGCCTGGATCTGCTGCCACGGGTGTGGCCTTGGGCAAGTCACCTGCTTTGTCTGGGCTTCAGTTCCCTACTTCTTCAGGAAAGCAGGTGGGCTGAACTAGTAGTTTTTCCATCTGTGTGTCCCTGTGCTTTGGCACTCTTCTCACCTGCTTCCAGACATGATCCTCGTGGTTCTCTCTGTGATTAGAAACTGGGTTTGGTTCAGAATTTTAAAACCGTGGTGTTCTGGTTTCTCCTCGTTCACCTGCTTGCAGCGGAGAGCTACAAGGAAACTCAGATGGTGAAGATTAAAGAGGAGCCCATGGAGGTTGACATCCAGGACTCGCATGTCTCGGTATCACCCAGCCGGAATGTTGGCTATAGCACTTTAATCGGGCGAGAGAAAACCGAACCCTTACAGAAGATGCCAGAGGGCAGAGTGCCCCCAGAGAGAAACCTCTTCAGTCAGGATATCTCTGTGAAGATGGCTTCCGAGCTTCTCTTTCAACTGTCAGGTACGTTTCTGTGCAGAAAAATGTCAATAATTGGGAATAATTGGAAGGAAAGCCACTCTAACAAAGTAAAAACACCCGCATTATAGGATTTTTCAGGCAGAAATCAATTTTACTACTTTAACATGCATACTGCCACTCAAACTAACAGTTAATAAAATGTTGCCAAGTGGAACTCCTGCCAAACTTTCTTTAATAAATAGTTAAGAATGATTTGAAATTAGAACTCTATTCAATTCTGTGCCAATGATCCCTGTTGACTAGGCTAAACATCTCACCTCTACTTTTGCTTAGGCTGTTGATCTGATTAACAGCCTTTTTTCTTTTTTTCTAATGTTCAAAAGATAAACTTCAATTTACTCCAACAGTGACTGAATTACCATGAATTCCAAATTAGTGTGGTTTGAATTAAGATTTTACTGTATCTTGCCAAAAAAAAATCAAGGAAAGGGAGAAGATGAAAATGGGAGGACTCTTGCCAACTATCCCCTTGCAGAGCATTGTTCTGTAAACCAATTGTTTCTACTTTGAATACTTGGAATTCACAGGTGTAGGAATTACCAGCTCAGCTAAGAGTCTTGATAGAACAGTTGAGGGTCCTCTTGGTTACCTTTGTTAACTCTTTCAAGCTGCATAGTGTTTGTCCTTAACAAATTTAACATGCTGTTATTATCTGAACGTGATTGAGTCTGAAGGTACATACACATATAAGATTCAGATTCATATGAAATACACAGAGCTTGTCCGTACTTTTTTGGCCTACATATGGAAGTTCATGCATCAGTAAAGTTTGTTACTAATGTATGATAACCTCTCTTTTGTTATGGATAACATATTCAAAATGCCATGAGATGCCTCATTATTTAAGTATTCACTTGCTTTCCCTGCTAAAAAAAATATCAGGGAAAAGAAGCTAGAATCTGCATACCATCATGATGGTTCACCTTCTTGTTGGCCTGGTGACATACCCCAGAGCTTGAAACTATCAGTTGTTCCTGAAAATGGTGGCCTCCTAATAAACAAGGATTGTTCTTTGTGCAAAGCCCTGTAGTAATGGAAATAGTTAATTACGTAAGTTTCACAGGATACGTGGATCTTTGCAAGCTCCCCAAAGCTCCAAATCCTACAAGATGCTTTAAAAAAAAAAAGAAAGAAAGAAAAGAAAACAGGCTGAAAACATATCTAAAAGCAATATAACTTTGAAAATTACTTAGCAGTTAAAATTTGCAAAAGTGAGGCCAGGGTGGTTCTTTTCAGAAAGTCTCTGTCTCTCACAGTACATTATCGCTGTCTGCTGTCAGTGACAAACTTTATGTCTGAGAGTTCTTACCCTGGCATGGTCACTTACTGCCTGGGTGACCTCAGGCAAGTCTTTTAGCCCCAATTTCCTGCTCTCTGAAAGAATACTGCCTCTGAATCCAAATTCAGCCTCGTTGTCATTGTCGAGGGGACAGAAAGCAACCGTCCACACCAACTCGCATGCAGCCATTTCAGACTAGTGTTAACAAAGTACTGGGCCGATGTTGGAAGCCTTTCGTTTTTCCAGATATCTGTTTAAATTTGTTCAGAAATCCCTAAAATCAGGAGTTTTTTGCTTGCCCTGCCGTGGAAATCTGAAACCCTGGTGAAGTTGGCCAGGTTTCCTCTGCATGCTGAAGCCATTGAGAGCTGTAATAGTCAGGGCAGAATCCTCACATTTGAACTGGATTGGGAAGGCCGGAGTTCAACTTTTGTGTTCTTGAAAGCTAATTAAATAATTTCTGACAGCTGGTAGATACAGACCTCAAGACAGAGTAAGGGAGGGTTTACCTCTGCTTGTCTAATGATATTTTATTTGTCCCTGGTGACATTTATCAGAATAAGCGCTCGATGACTGCAGAACCCAGAGGTCTTACGGCTGTTTTTGTATCTCCTCTCACAAAGGGGCCTGACAATACAGAATGCTTAAAGGTTGTCATCAAAGTCAGAAGCGGAACAGTTGCAACAACCGCAATTTTCATGCTGAATCAGAGGAGAGCAGAAATTTTCAGCCGGGGAAAGATGTGGTAGAAATAACAGGTTCTGGGCACATCTCTGTGTGCGTATGTGTACTTATTAAGGCCTCATTAAAATCAGACAACACACTTGAAATTTGTCAGTGATTGTTTCCCTTTGGTTTTTACTAAAATGTTTTTGTGGATGCTGTCTATATGCTTTTAATGATTGTCTTTACAAATAAGCCAGGGAGGGTTTGAATATATAAAAAGGAAACCAAAAGAAAACCACAAGAGAGAAAAAGAAATGTTGAGGGAGTTTCTGTTTAAGCCTTAGAGACACAGATCGAATAAGAACAACCTAAAAGGAATGTTTCATTCTTTCTTCTTACAGAAAAAGTGAGCAAAGAGCACAATCACACAAAAGAAAACACCATTCGGACAACCACCAGGTAGGCCATTTTATGTGGGGGGGGTAGGGGGCGTCCCCTTAGAGTGCCCCCTGTGTGGGCAGTCAGGCCCCAATCACATGTTGCGCATTGTTCCCCAAACTATTTTCTCCCGCTGGGTTCAAAGGAGTCATGCCTTTTGCCCCCAGTTTGTGTTAGACATTTTGTGGGAACAATACAGAAAGCAAGAGCGCCAAGGGGGAAGACCATTAATATTTATCAAACATTTAATAGCTGTTACTTGGCTGGAGAATTTTCCAGATGTTCTTATTTTTTATTCCTTTATAATAGTTTTGTGAAGTAGGTCATGTTATTATTCTCTTAAACTCTGGGAGTTTAAACGGGTGGCACAACTGGGATGGGGAGCTGGGTCCGTATCTCAGGAAGGCTTCACCCAGTCAGGAGACCAAGGTTCTTACTGCAGCTGTGTTCCCGAGTAGCTCCGCAGGTGTGGACGGATCACTGGTCATCAAGGATATCCCAACTTTTTGCCTCACGGCACTGTTAGGAGGACAGAACACTTTAAAGCGAGAGAAAATGCTTTAAAAGGCTGCAGGAAAACCTTTGTCATTAACAGCTGTAGATAAGGATGCTGTACATTTGCCAAAGGCAGCTTGAGGAGGTCAGCCAGGGTGGGCTGCCCATCCGTTTGCCAGATGGAAGGAGGAGGACCGGCCCGTGCGGCCACTCATCCCCAGCCTGGAAGGCCATCCAGACCGCAGCTGTGGTATGCACACTCCACTAGCATATACCCCACCGCTGTGAAAAAGGCACCCCGGGGGAAGATAGGAGCTCTAGCTTTCAAGGACTGTCCCCCACCCTCAGACCACCCTCCAGTCCCTGAGTTAGCCCCAGATGCAGGCTTTACCAGATGAAATAGAAACAGGGAGAACGAGATGTGAGCTCCCAAGAAGGCTTTATATCAAGGAACTAAGCTTTCCCGAGCAAACTTAGATTCGATTCTTCCTAATGGGAGCAGTTGACTGGTTTGGTATTTTTCATTCTTGCAACGAAAGATAAATGATGTTTTTCTTTTTTGAGGTGGTATGAGTCGACCTCAGAGCATCATCAGGCACGTGAACAGTGCTCATCTGAACCTTAACCCGAGTTGGTTTTTTTCTTTTTAATTTTATGAATTGGAATTTGGGATATCAAATGTCAAACAGTAATTAAAACAGAGCGAGCTGGCCTCACACAAAGTTCATATAGTATTAGGAAAATGAAACCTGCTATAACAGAACAGAAGAGCGGTACCAGCCTTGTCTCTGTGTATTAAGTACACAGATGGAAAATGCGTCTTGCGATCTGGGCTGCACACTGTTTTGGGAAATGGGTCTGGGGACTGGGCGGGTTATTTGTCTATTAAGTTGGATGCCCAAATTGGCGATGTTACCTACTACAGATGCCAGTGGACCTTCCACATGTAATCTTAAGACTATTTAGTATCTATGCTTGTGTTCATGGGTCTGAGCACACGAAATTGTCCTGATTGGGAGACCATGAAAGACAGCAGATTAAAATAATAAATGTTAATTTTAATTTGCTTCCATAAGTTTCTTGATGTGTCCCGGGTCAGGTTCCCTAGACGCAGAGCCTGAGACAGGGATTCCTGTGAAGGGGCTTTATTGAGGGAGTGCTCTCAGAGGACTCTGCTGGGAAATGAAGGGGGCAGGAGAGGGGAGAGGAAGTTGTAGAGCAAGGACGTAGTTTTGGCTGGATTCCAGCTTTAGCTCCATCCCACAGAGAATTCTGGAGCATGAATTGCACCACAAGGTAAATCCTGCCTGGAGGCAAAGGGGCCGGCTCTTTGGACCCCCATGCTGTTCACTAGCTTCGGGTCACCCCCAGCAGGGGATATGGAGCCTTCTAGTTGCAGGGGCTCCAAAGGTGAAGGCAGTTCTTGCTCACCGTTCACAGCCAGCACCCCAGCCACTCGCTCACTCGCTCGCTTGCTTGCTCATGGTGAGCACGCTAATGCAGTAAAGGAATTCTGGGCAGGACCCGACAGCACCCCCTGTGGTGGTTTTCTGCTGGATCTTTAAGATCACATAGTAATACTTACATAACAGAAAGGTATGCTACGAAGCCATGTTATTTTATGCTTTTCAGGTGGAAGAGTTTGACCCCAGTACGGTGCTGCAGAAGACTAAGAGGAGGTTTGAACTAGCCCCAAACGAGTGAAATGCGTCTCATAGCCTAAATTGCCTTGGCTGGAGCTAGAACATAATTATAGGATAGAAGAGAAATTTTTTTAGCCATTTGGCAAAAATGAGGCAATCTTTAAATTCTTCTCTTGCTGGGAGATTATGAGTAAGAAGAAATCCAAATCAGATTTTTTTGCCCAAAGCAGAAGAAGAGGTGCTTGCTGTGAGCCCCCAACGTGGTACAGTGTTTATAAAGCAATGTTACAGAATTCTGGGTTTATTCTCCTTCTGTAGAATCCTTGGTGTGTTTTTATTCTTCCTTTGAGTAGCAACTTGTTCAATTAGCCTCTCCTCAAACAGATCTCTTTTTTACCTTCTCACCTCATTACTTCAGGTGGAATAGAATCAAGCGGCTTCATGCCAAGAAATCCTCTTTAACCTCAGTTAACTGATAGCAGGGACAGGAAAAAAAAATGCTTCTCTTTTTTGATTCCTGTTTTAGAAGGAACTCTTATTTTGTATGCACAAGGTCAGCTCAGGGGGCTTACGTTTTAAGGTAGGATTTTCGATACTTTCCAAAAGATTGACATCAAGCCTCTGAATTTCCTTATCTCTGGATCTTCAGGTACTTAGTGGGATCTTCTTCTAGGTGTTCCAGAAGAAGCTGGCTGTCCAGAATGATGGCTCATGTTTGCAGTCAGGTTCAGAATCTGCCATGTTTGAGAGTTGCTAGGTACACTAAAGATAGTTTAATTCTGAAGAGCGGGCCCTGGTACGCTGGCCGCAGTACCGTCCTGGGGTCAAACTCTTCCAGATGCCAGGGGGTGTCTGAGCTCCTACACTCAGTGAGATCTCCTGCCCCTAGAGTCTGGATATCCAGGGGGCCGAGAGCAGAGAAGAGATGTGCAGTCCTGGAAGAAAGCAGCTGATTCTCTCTCCCTGTCCTATATAAACCCACAACTTTCTCCACTTTTTTTGGTCTTGACTCTCATTCCAACCACAAGAACTAAGGAAAAGTGTAGCAGCCTAGGAAGAAACACTGTAGCTCGGCATTCCAGTATGTGTTTACCAACGAGAGGAGACGTGGGGTGCGGATATTCCATGCCTGGGCCCCAGGAGAGCATGGAGGATGTGTGTACAGCTCACCATCCATCCCATACAGGCTGATAGTTGCACGTTCCTCCTCGTCAAATCCTTTTTCCATTGGCAATTCTGCTGTTTGTTAATATCTCTATTATAAGATGGGCAGATATGGAGAGAGAAAAAGATGTTAGACAGTGTTCCTTGTTAGCAATTTAAAAAAAAAAATGGTTTAGGTGAGGCTAAAGGTTGAAACGAGTAACTAGCAAGTTTCTGGATCATTGACTCTCTACCTCATTTAAAAATTAAAAACAACAAAAAAAACTCTTTCAATGGAAAATTTCAAACATATACAAAAGTAGAGAAAGTACCCATCATTCAGTCTGAACAATGATCATCTCCTGACCCTTGTTGAGAGGTCCCCTCCTTTTGTTCTCCCTCCCCCTAAATTATTTTAAAGCAAATCCCGGACATCATTTTAAGAACTTGTTTGAGAATGCTTTTTCTTTCACCCCAAGAACTGAGACTCAGCTGCTTAGATTAGTATCACCTTCCCAAAAGTTAAGGAGAAAAACAGTCTACCAAAGTGCACCGTGTAGCCAGGCAGAGAAATCAATCTACTTAACTGGAAAGATTGGATCATGTGGTCCTGCTCACCAATGCCTTGATCTTAACCCTTCCACCCTTGTTTGTGCCCTCATAGGGGCACCTCCACTGAATCAGTCCTTTAGTTGGAACTTCACTGTAAATGTTAAAACAGCAGTTCTTTTGCCTGTTTAACCTCAGAGTCTAGCAAATTCAGTCTAAGTGTAAAGAAGGCTGCATCTCCTTTGAGATGGTGTGTGGACAGTGTTCTTAATGCCATTCTACCTGATAAATGAGATGAGGAGACAGTCCAGCCAGACCCAGGAGAACAGAAGGACTGAACACTTAAGAGACTAATAAAAATCCTGATTTTTTTATTTCCTTTCCTAGCACAAGCCTAGCTTCTGCAGAGAATAGATACCCAGCTAATATGATCATTTGTTGATGAAAATATATGAGGCATGATATCATAACCAGATCCCAAAGTTTAATGGAATAAAAAGAAGATCTACATCTTCTGACATGGACCATCACCCTGCCAGATGCTGGATAAGATCGAAATAGGAAAATGGAACCCTAGAGTAAGAATCAGATAGCTCCTGGCAGGTGAATTGGACATGCTCAATGTTGTGTAACACCATGAACGCCAAACAATGGCTGCCAAGAACCCTTTCTTGGTTATTTGTTCTCTCTTTTGCCCATTAATAATTCAGTGTCCGTGGGGATATAAGATTGCAGGCCTTAAGAAAAACTTCTCACACCTGGCTTGCTTTATTCCAAAAGTAAGGAAGTGTTTACCCGAATTGTCCTTTTCCCCATTACAAGACAAAAAGCAGAAATGGGAAAATCAGAGAAAGGTAGACTCACAGCACGCCATGCCAGCCAACATTTAATTTGCCCAATTTTCTGAACTTGAAATGCGGGCTTTTTGTTATGATTTAGGTAATGGCACTTACAGTGTTCACTAAAAGACGTATGCACTTGGAAGTGTCTAATATAGAATTTTCCTGTGTGATCGTTTGTATGCTTGTCCTTAAATATTTATGATTCAGTAATAGAAATTGCACACATTTGGAAAAACATCAATTTGTACAATTTCCTCTTTTCATTTTTTGGAAGGCCAAAGAGAATAATGCTCTATTACCTTAAAGAGTAAAAGATTACTTACAAAGAACATTGGATTAGACAAAAGCA